TATATATATTGTAGCAAAAAAAAGTTAAATATTATTACAACTTGTGTGACAATAGCATAGCAAATGTTTCATGTACGCTTCCGGGTTCAATGGTCCATGACATCATGATGTTGTCGCAATAAATAACTTCAACCCCATACAGTTGTTGCTAAAAATAATTAGTATAGAATACTTTATAATTAGTCCCTTGATTTAATTTAAATGGATATAATATAAAAACTTTGTTTGACGTTTTTAGTAGTATAAAACTACAAATATATCTTGTTTTTATAAAACTTTTCTTGGGACATCCACTACGATTGATCAAACGGTCAATTCTCTCTCCTTCTAAATCTCTCCCACTCTCTCTCTAATATTTAGCTTCGAATTCATCCATGGCGGATTATTGGGTGGCATAACAACGATGAGAGAACTTATAGGCATCGTTAAAGACAAAATCTCGCTTTCAAAGCTTGCTCTTCTCTCCAAACCCCAAACCTTATCTCTCCACGTCGCCGTCCTCCGCACCACATCCCACTCACCATCAACTCCTCCCAATGACCACCACCTCGCCGCCCTCCTTTCTCTTGGAGACAGCTCACGCGCCACCGCTTCCATCATTATCCACTCCATAATGAACCGCCTCCACCGCACCAACGACTCCTACGTCGCCCTCAAGTGTCTACTCACCATCCACCACATCATCAAACGCGGCCCTTTTATTCTCAAAGATCAGCTCTCCGTTTTCTCCTCTGCCGGCGGCCGTAACAATCTCAAACTCTCCGGTTTTCGCGACGGCGCGTCGGCTACCACGTGGGTTCTCTCCGCTTGGGTCCGGTGGTATGCTCGATACCTCGAAACGTTACTTTCCACGTCGAAAAGCCTCGGTTTTGTTGTATGTTCGTCTTCTTATTCGGTGTTAGAGAGAGAAAAACAACAAGATTCGATCTCATCTTACATGAACTCGGATTTAATCAGAGACTTTTGCTCGTTGGTGAGTTTGATCGAAGAAATCTGCAAAGTACCCGATAATCTTCTCGTAGAACGAGACAAGTTGTTGCACAGTGTCATGGAGCTTCTGGCTAACGATTACCTGTCGTCGGTGAACGAGATCCTACTTCGACTCAGTGAGTTTAAAGAAAGGCTTGGTCTTCTGAGTTTCAACGAGTCGGTCGAGTTGGCTTCTGGTTTGGACAGATTAACAGCTTGCAAAGATAAATCATTACAACTATTTTCAATTAGAAAACCGTCAGTTGAGACCCTTTGGGAAATGATCGAAGAATTGAATAATAAATTTGGATTTGTAAAGTTACAGAAATTGAGGAGGGATAGTGGAAGTGAGTCAGCTCGGTTCGGAGACCGAGTTTTAGTGACTCGTGATCCCATGAAGTTCTCATCTGGTCGATTGAGATTGAACTATGGTGGTTGATTGTTTTTTTTTTTTAATGTTTAAATATTTTTTAATAATATTTGCTAGTAAAGTGTCAAAACGTCATTCGATTAGGTGTAAGATTTGTGCATATTTGGATAGAGATGATGAGATATTTTTTACATTGAATTTAGTATTGAATTGTTAATTAAAAACGATTAATGTAGACAATTTATTTGGAAATTTGTGATTGTCGTATATTTGTAATCAAGATTAATTCAAATTTTGTTGGCAGAAATGGCTTCCTGTTTTACTAACGCTCTAGAATACTTCTTTGCAAGCTAGATTATTATTTTTACCAAGTCAAGGGTTAAATATTTGACGGGTTAAATTAACTCGATGAATCTGTCAATGATATCGTGAACTATTGGTAGTATTTTGGTGGGACATGCAGTTTGCCTGGCGATAGTTATTGTCGTATGTATTAAATTATTATTATTTTTTTGTCACAAAAACTCTTTTGATAAACATAAATAAACAAAATAAACTAATATTTAAGAAACTCTTTTGACGTAGGAGTCGTTGTATAAATTTATTAGAGTATATTTGTAATACATGAGAGTGTGACATGTGACAAAAAAAACTTTTATTTATTAAGTAGATTAGATAATATGTAAAAAAAAATTGCGGGGATGCTTAGAAGATCTCACACAGAGGGTTGTGTATGAGGGTGGTGGGTTTGCTACTTTTGTTAGGGACAGCTGAAGATTGTCACCTCCCCACTATTGGAGATTGTTAATTAAAAGGATTATAACACTGAGATTTTGTACCACCTTCCGACTCAACACATCGGCCACCACGTTGGCCTTACCTGGGTGGTACAAGATGTCACGGTCATAATCCTTGATCACGTCGAGCCATCTCATCTGCCTCATATTCAGGCTCTGCTGGTCCACAAGGTATCTCAAACTTTTGTGGTCCGTATAGATGGTGTAACGGACCCCGTATAGGTAATGTCTTCAAATCTTGAGGGCAAAAACCACAGCCCCCAACTCCAAAATCATGAGTAGGGTAGTTAGCCTCATGAGGCTTCAACTCTCGTGACACATAAGCAATGACTCTACCCCGCTACATGAGTATCGCGCCCAGGCCGGTGATGGAAGCATCAGAATATACCACCATATCCTCTACGCCCTCTAGAAGGGTCAACACTAGAGCCTCACACATTTTCTGCCATAAAGTCTAAAATGTCACCTGCTGCTCAGGCCCCCAAACAAAATCCACACCCTTCTTAGTCAGACGGGTGAGAGGAACAACAATCTTGGAGAAATCCTGGATGAACCTCCGATAATACCCAGCCAAACCCAGAAAACTCCTGATCTCTGAGCGAGTCGCCGGAACCTCCCATTGTATAATTGCATCCACATAGCTGGATCGACCAATATCACATTTTTGGTTGATGAGGTGACCCAAAAACTGAACCTGACGCAACCAGAACTCGCACTTGGAGAACTTGGTATTAAGCCTCTCCCTCCTCAGAACTCCTAGGAGCTCCCGTAAATGCTCTTCATGTAACTCATTAGTCTTTAAGTAGACCAAGATATCATCAATGAATACAATAACGGACCGATCTAGCATCGGTCAACAATCTTGTTCATCATATCCATGAATGTTGCAGGTGCGTTGGTGAGCCCCAAATGGCATCACCACAAACTCATAATGGCCATAACAAGTGCGAAAAGTTGTATTCTCTCCATCCTCCTCTCTAACTTTCATCTGATGGTACCCCGACCTCAAATCAATATTGGAGAACAAAGATGCTCCCTGCAGCTAATCAAAAAGGTCATCAATCATCGGGAGTGGGTAACGATTTTTCACTATCAACTTGTTTAACTCCCGGTAATCTATGCACATCTGATGGGTACCGTCCTTCTATTTCACAAACAGAATCGATGCTCCCCAAGGAGAACTACTCGATCGAATGAACAGCTTGCCCAACAGCTCCTGAAGCTGAGAGGACAACTTACGCATCTCTGGAGGTGCAAGGCGATAAGGTGCCTTGGCGATCGGGGCTGCACCGAGGATCAGATCGATCCTAAACTCCACATGCCTATACGGTGGTATACCATGCAAATCCTCTAGGAATACATCCGGGAAATCCCGAACTACCGGGGCATCAGATACTGAATGACTCGGCTCTACACGAGTATCTATCACATATGCCAGATAACCTGAGCATCCATGTTTAATAAACCTTCGGGCCCTCGCTGCTGAGCAGATTGTTGAACCAACCCTGGTACCCTCACCATAAATGGTCAGCTCTCCCCTCCTTGGGGTACGAACCACCACTAGCTGCCCCATCGCAATCAATCTGAGCCCTAAACTGGCTCACCTAATCCATCCCTACAATAACGCTGACATCCCCCATGGGAATCGGGACCAGGTCAATCGGGTATAACACTCTTAAAATATCCACATTACAATCATGGAAAACACTCGCAACACGGACTCTGTCCTGGCCGGCAACAGACATCAGCATAGGATGCTCCAGTGCATTTAAAGGAATGCCAAAACTCCTACTAAAAGTCGAGGATAAAAAATAACGACTCGCACCCGAGTCAAATAGCATTAATGCAGGTAAGGAGTTCACAAGAAAAGTACCTAACAACAATATGAATCATAAGCATAATGTAAAATAATTAGACAAAAATATAAATAGATACATACCAGCAACGACGTCCGGTGCCGCTCTGGCCTCCTCATCCGTGATCTGAAAAGCACGTCCTCTAGCTCTCGGGGCCTCAGCCCTCCCCTAACGTCCTTCTGTGATCCGAAGAGTACTAAGTCCATACAGTGAGTAAACAACTCATATTGATCCCACAATAACTACTAAGTCCATACAATGAGTAAACCACTCATAAAATTAACTAAACCAATATTTTGATAAGGATTTTGACAAAACAATTTAAATTAAACAAATCTTGTTTAAATATTAGAATGTTAAACAAACAACTTTAAATACATACACATATAAACACTACAAATGTTTTATCGTATGTTAAAAAACATCTAATAACAAAACAATTATATAATCAAAATAAAGAAGAATTAACTAATTCAAACACTTTGAATTTAGGAAATTGATTTTAACAAGGTATAAAAAACTTATTTTTTTTGTTGGTGTTATAAACTATAGACCATCTAATACTAGGGTTGGCAAAATTGTACCACGCAAAACCAACCAACATGTTACCAACCAAACCAAGAAACTTGGTAGCCAACATGTTTGGTTGGTAGTACCGTACCAATTGATCAATGTTGGTACGATAATGGTACAAAAATTTGAATACAATGGTAATACCGTACCAACCAATTCATTTATTATATATATATATATATATATATATATATATA